TGTAGTAAGTGAGTCTATAGTCTGTTTTCAGTCCTCAATTCCTATGCAGGCTTGGACGCGGTGTTCTCGGCATCTTTACTCTGCCGCCATCTTCCGAAAGTATTAAAAATTTAATTCATTTTAATAACAGTGTTAAATGATGAAGGATCATGGGTATTAAGGAAAAGGAATCTCTTTATATAAAATAATAAAATGAAGAGGCTACATATATTAAAAAATGAGTTTCTTTCCTTAAATTCACATCTATCTTCCTTAAAGTAAACAGATTATTTTAGTCTATAAAGTCTAGACACTACAATCTAAACAGCTTTAAGAACACCGGCTCAAATCCTAGTTTTGCTTCTTATTAGTTGTATTATCTTGTCTAACCAAATCTTTTTTGATTTTAAGCTATCATTCCTCTTTCATTATATTGGATGGAGTTATAACTCAATATTTTATGAGACAGCAAATATTTATTTCATAGAAATAATAAAGGCCAATGAGATTAATACATATAAAAACCTCAGGAAGTACCTAGCAGCTATCAAAGAATTAAATTTTTCACAAATACTTGTTAACTACCTATTCTGAGCCAGCACTGTTCTAAGTGCGGGGATATAGCTGTACTCGAGTAAGTACAATTCTGGCCGTACCTAAACTTACATTTTCACTGGGGGAGAAAGAAATTACCTAATGTGATATATAAATACAACCTTCAAGAGAAATTAAGATATTCAAGTGATGAAATAAGAAAGTGAGGTATTATTTTACATTTGGTAGTCAGAAAATACCTCTCTGATGACAAATTACTTCAACAGAAACTAAGTAAAAAACAAAACAAGCCAAGTTCACATACAGATGATGACAGGATAACATTTTTTATGACAATGTTTTTCAACACATAACTTTATACTGACTAGCAGGGGCAATGCAGGAGAAACCAATCAGTGGATGTGACTAGCTGAGGCATTCACTAGCTTTATAAAAAAAGGTTAAATATTTCTCTAAATTTAAATCATCTAGTTTTCTGTACCTCTGAGATAAAACAGCAATTGCTTTGGCCATTACATCCCTCAGCTACACATTATAGTGATATACTTACATTTTCATGGGTATGAAAGAAATAAGTGGGAAGAGAGGAAGCACGTAGTTAGAAATTACATCAAAACTGAAATAGTATTCTTTATAAGCTACAAATAAAGTCTGGCAAGATGGAAATTAGATATTATATAGTCAAAGACATTAACTCCGTACACAAATCAAATCAAGAAGTATATTCCAATCACGAGAATATAAAATAACTTTTTAAAGGAAGATGCAGAACAGATAATATTGCCAAAGCAAAATCTATATGAAATGTCCTCCATTCATAATTATCTAAATTTTACAACCCCTGCATTGTGATTTTCTTTTTAAAAAATAGCATGGTTCTTTAAATCAGGTGTATAACAATATTTACAATAATATGAGTTTATAGGCATAGTTTAAATATCAGTACTTTAGATTAGGTTAATAGTCATACAGATAAACATTAAATTCCTACCTCATAAAACAATGACAGTTACTCCTTAATATTCTATATCTTTCAGTTTACAGTAATTTTCATAGCTAGTGCTTGAAAATAATGAGATAATCAGCTCCACCGGCCAGTGTTGGGAACTTGGGAAAAAGAAAATTGTGGGCTATATTACAGTCAGATAATCTATTCTGTTTGTCTAGGCTCATTTTGTCGAAATTTTTTATATATGGAAAGTTATAGATTTATTTGAAATAATATATTCCTACTAAAGTCCAGGAATGTACTTTTATGTGCCTCTTTAATCTTTTGTCTCTCAATATAAACCTTGCTTAGCAGGAAGACAATGCAAATGTTTGGTTGACTTGGGAAGCCTGATAGCAATTTTTCTGAAAACCAACTGCATATCATCTTAACCTACTATGGGTAAAAAGTATCCTGACTGAACAGAATTTTTTTTACTACTGGGAGATACTGGAATTGAAAATCATAGTTTCCCAATGGCAATTAAGTATATGAAACTCTAGTCATTTGAAGTGATAGGAGGAAAATAATAAGAAAAGATATAAGAGAGCCTCTACATTTGATATGTGTATCTGAGTATATGATGATATCATTTACTAAGAAAGAAAAAATACATTTTAAAAGTTCAAGGAGATAAACTCATTTTATAGCAAGAAGTTGAAAAATCTTAGCTTTGGGAAAGACATAAATCTGAGGCTGAAATATCAAAATTCAAGTCATTTATATAGAGAGAGTAAATAGAGCTATGAGAAAAGATCACCTTTACTAAAGAAAAGAGCTCTTAAAATTATGAAAAACAATCACATTTATTATCTTGATGAAAAGGATTTATTTTTTTAACCTAGATAAAAAAATATGACAGGTGATCTGTTCAAACTAAAGAGGAACCACAGAATTTTTTGTAATTAAAAGAGGAAGAATAAATAGAAAAATATTAACAAAGAATGAGCCAATCTCATCATTCTAGAAAACTGCAAAAAGATCAATTCCTTATTCACAGGATTGGTATTTAGCTAGTGATTGTCAAGATGTTCCCTATGAGGAATATAAAAGTTCAGCCTCTCATGAAAGACGGACTGATATTCAAGTACAAACAAAAATATTATGTTCAAAATTAATAAAGGAAAACAGCAGTATTTTTTAAATGTCTATATTTTAGTGTGTTAGGAAAAATGCTTGCTTCATATTAAAAATTATCCTTACATAAAATCAAATCAGCCAACATTCACATACCAGAACTAATGGTATCCTATTTCTACACTATTGTTATAGCCAACGGTCCCCAAAGGAAATAATTCTTGCCAACTCAACCCAATGCCTGAAATGATAAAAGTATTCATACGCTAAGCTAGCTCCATTTTTCCATTTATGCCTAGGCCCACAGGTTTTTCCTTGCGAACACAAATCGCCCTCCTACCCATTTAAAAACTTTCACAACTCGGCCCTCCCTGGTGGCGCAGCAGGTTAAAGCACTGCACTAAGAAGCTGAAACCACTTCTGCATGAGTTCGATTCCCACCTGCCCTGGAGGTGACCACATGGCTTGGCAGACCTCTCATGACCGCCCGCTGTTCCCCTCAGCAGTGTACTTCGTTGATCTGCCTGTTCTGCTCCCCACTCTGTCTCTAGTGAAGTCTTTCGCCACCCCTGAGTCTCTGGCCTGTACCCCAGTTCTGTATGCACAAATAAATAAATCTTTTTAAAAAAAAAACTTTCACAAATCTTTTAAAGCACTGAAAGCAGTGTGTCCTACAATAGAGCACAAAGGTAAAAATTACAATCTTTTACCAAGAAAACTGGTTCCACAGAAAGGAAGTTATGACTAATACTAACTGCCCTTCATTTCAAAAGTAGTTCGGCTTCTCAAATTTTCAATGTTTTATAATATATTTATTGCAAACTTAATATCCAAAAAGAAAATGCTACTTTACTCATAACTACTGGATATTTTCTCTGGTTCTACATCATGGACTCCTCCACAAATAAGCCTTATCTTTAAAAATAAAAAATGAGGAGAAAAAATGCCAAGTTATTTATAGCCTAGCAAGTACTGAATAAAATAGTAATCTATCTAAAAGAAATGATGGAAATTCCATGGTTCAATTTTATTAGTATTTCCAAACTTCCATGAAAGATTTAAGAATTTTGCCTATTGTGGAAAATATTAACTCAGAATATTCTTTAAAACAACAACAAATTACATATAGTTTTTGTATACACACACACACACACCTACCTTTGGAATAGGATTTAGCAAAACTACACCTGATTTCTTAGTGATGACTTGTTTTGTTGTATAGTGATGATCTATAAGTTGAGGGATATTTGAAAAGCCAGTGCCTTCAAATCGATACAGATTCTGGAGAAAGAACAATAAAATAGAATAAACATGAAGACATTCCCTCAGCAAGACTTCATTCAACAACATTATATTCCATTAAGAAAAACTATTGCTGCATAACAATGTAAACACACCTACCACTACTCAACTATATAATTTCAAATGGTTAATATATTTAAAAATGCAATTCTAATGCACAAAAAAATATAAGAAGCTTTTGTAAATAAACTTAAGTCAGAGAAATTATTTCTATAGTGACTAAATGTAATTGAAATTGTTCAAAAAATTAAGAAAAATTAACATACAGACATGGTATGTATTTTGCTAAAATCATAAACAAAAGAAATAAAGTGGGAAACATTTGAATTATGGAAAAAGAAACAGATTTACATATGTTTACATATATTCTACTTGACATAACTTTCCATATCAAAAATAATGTCAAAATTTTGAGAAAGCATATCCAATATAATAATAAATATTTTAAGAGTAGTATTCCATGCCTTAAGTGCCTAGTGCTGTCAGGTGTCATGCATTCACTTCATTTCTCCACTTCATCTATAAAGGCACAGAAATAGTGCAAATGATTGATGGGCTGATCATTGACTTAAAAAAATTAATTCTAAGGATCATCATTTCCTACTTATCAACAAGTATTAACTATTTTTTTATACAGGGGTTATTCACTTATTCTTTCATCAAGATTTTATCAGTTGCGAGTTTACTTTGATTTCATATCCTTTGGTATCCCTCTGGTATCAAAAGCTCGCATATGTATATACAGTTTATATGTATAAATACAGATGTGAATGTGCTACATTTTAGGAAAACATAGTATTTAAGAAATAAAAACTTCCAATATTATCTAGATTTTTATAAAATTCACATTACTGGAATAGTAATTTCCCAACTAAATGATAAAACACTCACTGCTCCTTTTCCTTAGTATAGAAAAAAATTATCAGAATTGAATTTATTTATAATATTTTAATTCAAATAATAGTTCTATTTTATTAAATGAGAAAATTATGCTCTAGCTTTCTTCAACTCAGAGAAGTTTATGACAATTAGTTTAGAGCAGTTATTAATAAATTACCTAAAGAATTTTTGGGTTTAAGTGCCCTCCCTTGTGGTGCAATGGATTAAAACACAATACTGTGGAAGCTAGTGCGCTTCAGTGTTAATTAAATCTGGGGCCAGGGAGGTGACTCATATGGAGCAGCAGACCTCTTTTGTCTTGCCCATTGCTCCCCTCAACGGTGTACTTCATCAATCCACCTGTTCTGCTCCCCAATCTCTCTAGTAAATCCTCTCACTGCCCTTGTACCTCTGGCCATATCCAGTTCTGTATGCATAAATAAGTAAGTCTTTTTAAAAAAGAATTTTTGGATGTAGCAGTCAGATCTACTATGATATATTAGTGATAACACTCAAGAATATTTTACTCTGCAGATATTAATCTGTTGTTATTTGTGCAATAAACTAAGCAAGTTCTCTCACGTCTATTTAGTCAGTGATGAAACAAAAAATCATTTGAAACTTCTTTGTTCATTATGGCACAATGTACACACTCAAGATAACTTTACACAAGATAACTTAGAAATGAATACTGGATAACCTGTAACTCACCGGAACTCAAGCCACCAAAGTACAATGTTCAATAAAAAGTTACTCATCGGAGGACATTCTCACAGAATAAAATTTCAAATTGGCAACTAGTGTCATGTTTTAATAAAACTTTAATATAAATCTAGAGTAGTGAATAAAATGATGACATTGAATTTAAGCATATATCTAGTTTTCAACTGAATTTTCTGTCATTGACATTGTAATCATACTGGACTGATACAATGAAGAATAAAAGAAACAGAGCTTACTTTATAGACTAAGACAAAATGATTCTTAGCAATTATATATTTTTTAAAAAGGTATATTTATTTATTCCTATTCCTGGGTACAAGTCAGGTATGGGGGCAGTGAGAGGCCTCACCAGAGACAGAGCGGGGAGCAGAGCAGGCAGATCGACGAAGTACACGGCTGAGGGGAGCAGCAGGCAGGCCAGGAGAGGTCTGCCACACCATGTGGATCACCTCCTGGGCTGGGGACCGAACTCGCACTGAAGTGCCTGTGACTTGCAATGCTGCGTCCCAACCCGCTGCGCCACCACCAGGGAGGGCCAGCAATTATATTTTTTTAGCAATCACTCTGATAACAATGTAGCTGTAAGAATCCTAACACTATACAAACCCTATCAACTCACTTTCTTAAAGATGGAGAATTAAAATGACAAATCTAAAAGCAATGCTTAAACTGTATGCTTATAAAGTTTAGCTAAAGCGCTAAAAGGTCAAAAATAGTACAATCACGGGCCCTCCCTGGTGGCGCAGCGGGTTAAAGCACTGCACTGAAAAGCTAAAGCCACTTCCGCATGAGTTCGATCCCTGCCTGCCCCAGAGGTGACCACATGGCGTGGCAGACCTCTCCTGACCGGCCTGCTGCTCCCCTCAGCAGTGTACTTTGTTGATCTGCCTGTTCTGCTCCCCACTCTGTCTCTGGTGAAGTCTCTCACTGCCCCTGAGTCTCTGGCCTGTACCCCAGTTCTGTATGTACAAATAAATAAATCTTAAAAAAAAATAATAGTACAATCATAATATGGCACTGAAATAAAAACAGACAAATAGAATAGAAATGAGAGCTCAGAAATAAACTGCAAATATGCAGTTTATCTATGACAAAGGAGCCAAGAGTCTACACCTGAGATATAGGTGATGCTGGGAAAACTGAACAAACACAGGCAAAAGAATGAGACTAGATAACCATTTCACACCTTAACAAAAGTTAACTCAATAAGGATTAAGGTCATGGGTTCTTAAGGATTAAGAACCAAAACCATAAATCACATTGAAGAAAAAGTAGGCAAAAAAATCCATAATATTCATTTCAGAAACATCTTTGGGACTTTATCTTTGGGAATTTGCTTTAAAAGAAGCAAAAGCAAATACAAAAAAATGGTATTACAACAAAGTAAAAAACATCTGCACAACGAAATAACTATCAGTGAAACAAAAAGACAGCCTATTAAATAGGATAAAATATCTGTACATAACACATCCAAAAGGGCTGATATTCAAAATATATAAAGAATACATGCAAATCAACAAAAAGAAAGCAACCCATCAAAAGTGGGGGAAGGGGCGGGGGGGGGGGAGGAACAGCTAAACAGCATCTGGTTCACCAAAACACACATGCGGAAAAGTCAAAAGGCACATGAAAATGCTCATTATCACTTGTCATCAGGGGAGCACAAATCAAAACCACAATGAGATACCAACTTATACCTCTGAGAATAGTTCACATTAAAAAGTCAAGAAACAAGAAGTATTTATGAGGATGTGGTAAAAAGAAGCTCTTCTACACTGACTGGAGGAAAGTAGACTAGTGGAGCCCCTATAAAATATAGTATGGAGGCTTCAGTACATTGAAAATAGACCTACCACATGACCCAGTAATTCCACCCCTAAGTATCAACACAAAGAATACAAAAACACTAATTTGAAGGGGACTATATATTCTTGTATTCAATGCAGCCCCTAATCACAATAGCTAAATTACAGAAACATTCTAAGGGCTCAGAGAGAGAGGAGTGTATAAGAAAAATGTGGGCATGCACACATGCGCACACATCCGACACACACAACAAAACTACTCAGCTATAAAAAAGGCAACATGGAAAGAACTGTAGAGGATAATGCTAAGTGAAATAAGTCAGAAGGAGAAAGATAAAAGACCAGATAATCTCCCTTATGTGTGGAATATAGAGAAACATTACTAAGGGGTCAGTCAAAACCAAACCAATAGTAAGCACTTAGTATCTGCTAAAGAAACAAAGGCAATAAGAGCGGGATTTGACAGGGTGGGAGTAGGGGATGATGAATCCATTGGAACATAGTGGTAGACTATTGGGGCACTGGCGGTGGGCATATTGTAAAAATAAATACTAGAATTTTAAACTGTAACTCACAAAGATACAATGTAAACCATCTTAACCTCAATAAACATAATCCGGAAAAAGAAAGAATTCACTAAAATTTTTGAGAAGTTGTTATATAATTCCAAATTCCAAATATTAAATTTGACCATGTACACTTCTTTTAAGTTTCTTGTAGCTCATACATATGAGGTTAGGCTTACATAAATAGTGATTCGTATTTAAGTGTTTCAGTATGAGAGTTTTGGGTACCATAGGGGAAGGAACTAGGAGGTTTAGAACAAAATGAGGAAGGCGTACAATGGAGGAGGACTGTGGGTCCTTAGATGTGGGTGTAGTCTAGTAACAATACCTAAAGGATGCTATCCTATACCTGTAATCAGGTATACTTCAATACAATGTTGAAGACCTAGGTTACTTCATTAAAATATATCAAAATATTTTTACATAACTTTAAAAATAACATGATGAGACAATCCAATGCATATAGAGGAAAAACACATCAAAAAATCAGATTTTGTTGCTATAAGTATTTTTGGATGATTATTAATATTAAAGGAAGCCAGACAGAACAAAATAAGGACACAAAATGAGAATGGGATCCAAGAAATAATAAATTGGAAAAAAAAAAAAAAAAAAAAGCCTGAGTAGATGTCTTGGAAAAAAATTGGTGACAAACTGGTTTAAGAAAATGAAACAGTAAAACAAATCATTTCTGAAACAGAGATGTAAAGGCTAAATAAAAACCAAAGGTTAATATTCTTTTTGGTAAAAATTCTTCTCAAAATTATAAAGCATAACCAACTTTAGCTTTCTCAAATAAAATCAACACACTGAATAGTTACACAGAAATATTCTTGGGGATTTGGGGAATTAATATTTGAAAAATTATAGTATACCTTTATTTGACTTAACGTTTATCTCCAGTTAACATTTTTTCAATCTCTAGGTGTTTTCTCAAACTTTGTTTCCATGCGTATGCTATTTAAAATCTTCATTGTAACATGTATCTACTTTACAGTAATTACTA